TCCAGGAAGAAGCTGCTTCACTGGGAGACAGAGAAAAGTCAGGATTCTAGAAAGTTCTGAAACAAGTTGTACCTGTGTGTGTACTACGACACAAAGGTGTCAGAGAGACTGGAACCAGAACCTCGAGTGTCCTGACAGATTTGAATGTCCTCACTGAAAGATGAAGAAAATGAAAAGAGGCGTCTGTTTGTGGTACTTTAAAAAAAAGAAAGTAATGGATGGAGTGGAGTGGAGTGGAGTGGAGTGGAGTGGAGTGCTTCCCTGCTCCTGGGCTCTGTCAGTGAGACAGCAGGCCAGACAAGAGCGTGGACCATCAACATGTCAAAGTGGAGCAGCTGCTCTGAGACACCAGCTCCCTGCGGCAGGTCAGAGGACGGAGCAGAGAGCTCCCAGTGGGACGGAGAAGCTGTGTTTATGTGTGTTTTGTCTGGAAGGACAAGACAGAAAAAGTGGAGTCTACAGACAGGCAGAGAAACGGCAGGGCACGTCTGTCCACGTCTGTCCACGTCCACTTAAGTTAGGCTCCGTCCTGATTGGCTGATGGCTGAGGATAACAGAGCTGCTGTCTGTCCATCACTCCCTGTCCATTCTTGCGTCTGCTGCTGCTGCTGATGCTGTAGCAGCAGCGGTGCCTCATGTTGAACCCCGTCCACTCACCTGTCGTCCACAGACCGTCCAATCACTCAGCTCTTACAGACCTGCAGGATCAGCCCACAGTCACTGCACACACTCCAAGATGGATGTGAGTGCGTGTGTGTGTGTGTGTGTGAAAGTGTTAGCAGTGACAAGTAGAATGTCAAATCAGGAATATATGGCAGTGCAGTGTATTGACAAACTCTAAATGAATCATAAAGGGTTTCATTACAAATGCACAGTTCAGTTCAGTTCAGTCAGTCAGTCAGTCAGTCAGTCAGTCAGTCAGTCAGGGCTGGTGTTTATGAGAGAGGACTTTGGTTTCATGACTGTCCTGGATACAGGCTCTTCTGGGTCTTCACTCTTCCTGCACGAGTGTAGTTTATTAGAGGAGACACAGTCTGGAGCATCAACATGACGTACAGCGTCTCACTGAGTGAAGTCTTCACGACTCATCACGGTGCCCCCCCCCTCCCCCCCCTCATGTATTAGTCTTCTCAGAGTAACATCAAATATCAGTCACTCTCATCTGGTCCAGTAACAGTAACACTTCCATCCAGGGAGAGGAGAGCAGCAGATGATGCTGCTGCCTGACAGCAACCACCGTCGGTGTGTGTGTGTCGGTGTGTGTGTGTGTGTCAGGCTGTCAGTCAATCAATAAAAGTCATGTGTGCAGGTATAACCCAGTGCACTGTAGAATTCAACCTTCAAAACTGACTGGTGAGTCGCAGCACTGCAGCCCAGGTCAATGAACTGTCAGTTGATCCACTAATAATTAACAGAGTTAATGGTTAAGAATATTCTCATCAATGTCAACATCTCCACGTGTTCTTTCACCTCAGGGTTTTTTATTTTTTAAATCATTGCTTAAGAGCTGGTGTGCAATACTAAAGAGGGAACGCAGCAGCTCTGTCGTCCTGGGCGGGGGGGGGGGGGGGGGGGGGCGTCTTGTGATGTAAAGGTTCTACAGCAATGCTGTGTGTTTTTTGCATATTTAAGTGGAGAGATGTTCTCTACAGGGGGAGATGGAACTGTTTCTCTTTAGGTCGGAACTCACGTACAGCAGTTTGTGGATTTGTCACCGTCGTCTCGTCTCCGTATTCAGCCTACGTTGAAACAGACGTTGGGTTTTTTTCATGGCCGTAGATCAGAGCAAATGAGCAGCAGTGATTGGATCATGTGGTGTTCTGAACGACAGGTGGTCATGTGATCACAGAGAACCTCTGGTCGGGTCACACTTTCATGGTGCTGCACAACAGAGATAATGATTGTCTTGGTGCTGCTGCATGGATCGTGTATGAAAACTGATTCATAATCCTAGAAGAAGAAGAAGAAGAAGAAGAAAAAGAAGAAGAAGGGGGAGGAGGAGGGGGAGGAGGAGGAGGAGGAGAAGAAGGAGGAGGAGGAGAAGAAGAAGGAGGAGGAGAAGGAGAAGGAGGAGGAGAAGAAGAAGAAGAAGAAGAAGAAGAGGGGGGGGAGGGGGGAGGAGGAGGAGGAGGAGGAGAAGAAGGAGGAGGAGGAGAAGAAGAAGAAGAAGAAAAAGAAAAAGAAGGAAAAGAAGAAGAAGGAGGAGGAGAAGGAGAAGGAGGAGGAGAAGAAGAAGAAGAAGACGAAGAAGAAGAAGAAGTAGAAGAAGAAAAAGAAGAAGAAGAAGAAAAAGAAAAAGAAGAAGAAAAAGAAAAAGAAAAAGAAAAAGAAGAAGAAGAAGAAGAAGAAGGAGGAGAAGAAGAAGAAGAAGACGAAGAAGAAGAAGACGAAGAAGACGAAGAAGAAGAAGAAGAAGAAGAGGGGGGGGAGGGGGGAGGAGGAGGAGGAGGAGGAGGAGAAGAAGGAGGAGGAGAAGAAGCAGAAGGAGGAGGAGGAGGAGGAGGAGAAGCCAAACCACAGTTCCAGGAGATTTTAAAGAGAGAAGTTGGCAGTTCTCCTCAGTTGATGTTTTCTCCTCAGTTGATCAACAGTAGAGGAGAAACCGTTGCCCTCAGACTTGGCAGGTGTCAGGTTTGTGACTAATTGAACTGCATTTATTAATCTTAAACATAAAAAGTGAAGGCGATGCAGCAGTAATTTATCAAAACTGCCTGTTTTGCCCCCAGTGATGCACCTCTGAATACCAATGTTCACACATTGGTATTCAGAGGCTGTGACCACCTGGACCTTTGGAGACCCTCATGTCCTGTGGTCGCACCAAAAGAATATTTAAAATAGATTTGGAACCTTAATACGTTCCTAATGTGAAATTTAACATTTGGCTGAGTTTTTGTTTTTAACAGCCTGCAGTAAAACAGCCAGAGTACTACAGTAAAGCAGTCAGGGTACTACAGTAAAACAGTCAGGGTACTCCAGTAAAACAGCCA